GGCCCCTGGGTTCTCCAGGTGCACAGTGTAGATCTCACAGCAGAAGACCACCACTGTCTCCAGCATTCCCTCATTCAACTGGTGCTCCACACCTGCCCCATCTACCAGGCTAGTCATATGTTCCTTTTTGGCCACCTTTAACCTGCCAAAATAAGCAGACTGTTTCTCTCCTTCCTCCACCCAGGGAACCTGAGCCAAGAAGATCTTCCTGGCCTATTCCCTGTACCAGGCCCTCATCTGGATCTTCACCTCCCGCATGGCCTCCCTCACATCCTAACCCCAGGCTGCCTGCTTGTGCAGGCTCCACAACTTGCAGTTTAGGCATTCATAGTGCTTTCTCTGGACCCAGACTCACCTCCTGCTGGCCTGCTGGAATAAGTTCCTTGTTCTCTCTTTCATACTGGCCCACCACTCCATGTGGTTCTTGTACCCAGGTCAGGGTTTTCCACCCTGCATAGTGCTGCCTGAATTCCTGCTGCATCTTTTCATTGTCCAGAAGGCTCATTGTCATCCCAAAGGCTCAAGTTCAGTTTCCACATGCCTCTGCCCCTCTTGGTCTGCACCCCCATTTTTGTTTTTACTACAGGAGGCAGGTGTCTGAGAAGCAGACCAGCACGGATTCAGCTTTAGCTACTGTCCATCCTTTGGGGAGGAAGACAAAGTCTACGCACGATTTTGCCTGACCCAACAGGTCTACCTGGGTGAAGTTTGTCCCTTGTGCTTCCTTGCCTGCATCCACCTGACTGTGGTCACAGACAAGTTGCCTCAACAGTCTGAAGGATCTGTCCGATCCTTTCTTTTGGCCTCCGCTTATTCTGTCTTCTTTGTCAGTGATGCAGTTGAAATCTTTTGCGATCACCACCAGCCAGGTGCTGGGCTCTGCCACAGTCATGATTTCTAGGAAGGTGCACCTTACTTTCTTATTAGCTGATGCATACATGTTTAGGATATCAGAAATTCCCTCCATCTGTGTGTCAGCCAAATCTGACATAACCAATCTACACAAGACAATGACTGACACGTGCAGATTGCCTACTTAAGCTATGTCTGTATGGTAAGCTTACTGCATCTGGCATAGTCTTTTGCCTATGATGTAAGCATAAGTGTACAGTGTACACTTGGCACTGATGTGCTCAAAACACACTTCACTACTCCATTCAGACCATCTCCTACACCAGAAGCAGTGGAGCTGCTTCTGTGCTAATTATCTTGGAGATTGACTAATTGATTCTACCTGTTGTGCCATGCAGACACAGCTTCTGTTGTACGATGTAGCTGATTCAGAGCAGCCCAGCATGTTTGAGGACATTGCTGCTGGGCATGGGTATTTACATGGCTGTAAACCAGTGCTGTGAGATCCTTTTAAGAGTGCCAGGGGATGCTTCACAATATTGGCGCTGTTAGGTGCACAGATACCTAGACACGATTCACCAAGATAAGCCCAGAGATTTCAAATGGGAATCCATAGTGTCAAAAACATTCTACAACAGAAGAATTGCTCAGTTCTTTTCCATATTGAAAAAAAGAATGAAAGCTAACAGCTGGCATTTTCCAAGGGCTACCTTGAGCCTAAAAAGGTTGAGAGCCTGTGCCATAGGAACTCCTACCAGCGGTAATGGTGGGGAATTGTATCTTAGGAACACAACACTGGGTTATTGGGTCTAGTCCCCGGCTAACACAGAAAACTGTTATATAATCCCATAGGTCAGGGGTTGGCAACCTATGACCCACAGGCCAGATATGGCCTACAGAACCTTTGGATTCAGCCCACAGAGCCATGGCTTTGGCCACATACACTTGTGGAGGTGGGGAGGGGGGCACTCTCCTTGTACTGTGCTGCAGCCCTTGCCTCTCTTCAGGCACCTGGAGCTCTGGTGGAAGAGGAGCTCTCTTCGTGCTTTGCCACAGTTGGGTGGCATGGGCTTTTGGGAAGGGGGCCTTCCCCGTGCTGCACCACAGTTGGGCAGCAGGGAGAAGCAACAGAGGTGTCTGGATCCTAGTGTCCAGCTATCTCATTCTTGAGCTGGGCATTCCAGCCCCACCGTTGGAAAATGCTGCTGTAGGTTTTAGCCTCTCCTATTGGGAGGCCACTCCACTTGCTGCTATGATGTCTGGCGATGTCCTACTAATTTCCAGTTTAAATTTATTGATGGCCAATTTATGCCCATGTGCCAATATTGTCCTTATCTCATATAATTCTTCCCTCTCTTTAGGGTTTACCCTCTAATATGTAGAGAGAACAATCATATCTTCTCTTATCCTTCATTTTAGTAGGCTACACAAGCGTAGCTCTTCTAATTACCTTTCCATTCCCATGATAATCCTAGAAACCTTTCTTCTTTCCAGTGCTAATTCATTTTTCTTGAATAGGAGTGAAATATATACAGTATTCCAAATGAGGTCTCACCAGTGTCATGTATAATGGTATTAATGTTTCCCTATATCTATTAGAAACTCCTCATCTAATAACATCCTAGGACAGGAGTTAGCCTTTTCAAATGGTGGGTTGGGCACTTGTGACCCAACTGTCAATCTGTTGCTCATCCTCTCCCAGCTCTGTGTCCCCCCTGCTTATCAGGTGCTGCCAAAATTCCAGGTGAATGCCAATAGGGAATGGCAAATTCAGCGGCAAAGACACAGAGTAGGAGGTTTTAAATAGCAACTTTAATTGGGCCCTTTAAATTGCCTTTTAAAGGAGCCATGTTAAAGGAGCTTTAACATGGGACCTTTAAATTAGCCCCCCCCCCCAAGCCCTTCCTCTCCTTCCCCCCAAACACATACACACTGAATCAGATCTTTGGGGGCTGGATCTAAGCTCTTCATGGGCTGGATCCAGCCTGTGAGCCATAGGTTGTCAACCTTTTTCTAGCAGCATGTTTGCCTTTTTCCCCAGATGCATCATGCCAGTGTCTCATAATCATTCTCTGATTGACTAATGCAACTTGATTTTCTTCTTCTCTGTAATTTCCAACTTATGCACTGCTAGTTTGAAACAGAAATATTTGTTGTTATCCCTAAGTACATAATGTCACATTTCATATTACTAAATTTCAACTTATTTCTGTCACATCAGTCCTCAAGGTAATCCATTTGTTCCTTTATGATATCCTGATCCTCCTCTCTGTGGATGATGCCTTCCAACTTTGTATCATCATTCCTTAGCGTACTTCTACTTTTATGACAGGGTCATTCATTTCTATACTAAATAAGATTAGTCCTAAGACTGTTCCTTAAAAACTGCAAGCAACTTCCCTCCAGTGTCATTTTTTCTATTTACAACACAATATGCTGTCACCTCCTCATTATTCAATTCCTTTACTCATCTTTAAGAGATTCTTGTAAGAACCCTGAGGGGGAACCGGTTGTATTATGCAGAGGCTCATGGTATATAAAGCTGAGCTAGAACTCAGTTGTTAAATAAAATAGATCTTTCAAATTCTCTGACTAAGTGATTACTGAGCAACACAGGAGCAATAGTGGACAATTCTAAAGACAAATGTTTAGTGTGGAGAAAACAAATATGTGCATCTGCCATGAGCTGTGTATACCAGGAAATAAGATTAATTACTGTAAAAAAAAAGCAGCCTTCACGACAGGACAGAACCTAACACCATCAATTCTGATGTTCGTGTTAAACCCTGAATGTGGTAATCCCATATCTATTCTTCCTTTCCTAGCAATCCAGATGTGAAAATTGTGTTTTCACTGAAGTTAGCGAATATGTTTACATTGATTCCACTGAAATCAACATTTCAGCTCCTGTATTTCAATTTTGAAACTTTTATTTTTACCTTTAGAATTGAGCTAACTTCTTGAGATTATCTTCCTTCCCCATCCATCCAGTCCTCTATGTAAATCAGTACAGTAATTGACATGAACGCAGCAGCTAGGGAAGCATGGCGAGCTCCTGCAGGTGGCGGCGGCACTGATGGCAGTGGGAGCATGGCAGAGGCAAGTGGGGAGCTGCCGCAGGCAGTCACAGCACTATCGGCGGGGGGGGGGTGGTGAGCGCTGACCAGTGGTCAGTGACCACCCACAGAGACTGCTGGCAGTGTCAGCGGTGGTCTGCGGTGATCATGTACTGCCCGCAGACGGCGAACGAGGTGGGGGCGAATGGTGACCGCCCTCAGGTGCTGCCGACAGTGTCGGTGGCACCTTTTCACAGGGGTGCACTGCCACGCTCAGGGGGTGCATGTGAACCTGTGTGCACCCCTACACATTGCCAATGGTAATTGATTATCTGGGGGAAATCCTGGTAACGTAGCTAAAAAGGAAGGCTTATTTCTATGTTCACTTCTAACATTATCTCCAAGACACTATGTACCATATGAGACAGTTTTTTAATATTGATTGGCTATTGGCATCGGCAGTCCCTTGACATGAGAACGACAGTCTTCCAGGAAATAGTGAAGTCATCAACGAGTCAGTAGATGACTGAGGAGGACAATCCGAGATCTGCCTGTTTGACTACAGACGCAGCAAATAGTTCTGGGAGGAAGGAGTAAATCTTGGTGATATTAGGTCACAGCTCTTCTTGTCTCTCTTAGGTACATGTAATTAAGAAATCTGTGCAACTGCTCAGTACAACTTGAGAGAAATTTTTGTATCCAAGGTAAAGCACAAGTATAAAAATTAGATAAGGCCAAAATGAATGTTTCAAACTGCACATTATCTACACTCCTGTATATTTATTTTCAAACATAATTGTTTTTAT